ATCGAACAATCAGCATAGCTTCTTTTCTTCGACTAGCTTTCTCTAAACTGGGAATTTTAGAATAATACATTTCAAAAGCAGTTCTGTAGAATTTCCAGCTGTTGTGCTTCAGAAGGCTATTTGGGAAGATGTGTCTGAATGTCATCACCCATACAGATCCCTATAGAAGAATCCTGCGTCAAAAGGTGAATGCTGTTCCTAACCTATTTCTCTCCTCCCCTGCAACCTTTCCATTAAAAAAATAGACCATCCTTATGGAGTAGGAGCAACATCCTCTTTTCCTATAGTATGCAGTTTATGTCAGACACATAGATTCATTTAAAAACCTTTGCTGGAACATTTAAAAAAATAATTTCAAATTCCACAGGTTTCCCATCTCATTCTACAATTTTCTTTTGAAAAACCCAGTTCTTATTCATGTGCGAGCATTTACATGTCGCCCCTATTGTTATTTACAGCTCAAGATCATATAGTAAAAGTTTAGCCACTTTTTTAAAAAACCCAACTGTTCAAATTGTTAATCGGAACAGGATGACCATGTTGGATAAGAGGGAATAAAAGAGAGAAGAGATAATTTTGCAGGGAACATAACATTGTGAAAAAATATGATAGTAAAGGTTTTGCCCTAAATTCCAACTGTGCTTTAAAGCTATTCTCTCACACACATATACTCTCACACGCGCGCACACACCTGTTTGTATTAGGAGCACCTGAGAAAACAGTGACTCATTTTTCTTAACTGCATAACAACTGGAGAACCTGTGCTCCTCCTTTTAAAGTTTAAGGCTTAAACAGGGAATAAATACGGCTTTTTTTTTCCAGTTGACAGAAGGGGAAAAAAAGGAGGATAGGGCATTCTTTAACCAAAAGTTTTTCAGGCAACAGGAATACTAATTTCATAGTGAAAAACAACTATTTATTTAAATAAATTTTCATAACTAAGCCAGCACATAATGCTGGTTCATACAGAGAGCCAGCATTTTCTGCTAGCTTAGTTATGGAGCAAGGTGTGAAGATCTGACAAAATGGTCAAGGATACATTAATATACTTTCCGTTTAAGATACCGTAGAATAGGTAGTCCTCCACTTAATAATCATTTGTTTAGGGACCATTTGAAGTTACAATGTTACAACAGCACTGAAAAAGTGGCTTATGACCAGTTTTGACACATTACAGCATTCCCTTGGTCATGTGACCAAAATTAGGGCACTTGGCAACTGCCATGTATGTATAATGGATGCACTATCCTGGGTCATGTGATCCCCAATTGCAACCTTTCCAGATGGCTTCTGACAGTAAAGTCCATGGGGGGGAAGCAAGATTAATTGACTGCATGATTTACCTAACAACCGCAGTGACAAAAATGCCATAAAATGGGGCAAAACTCACTTAACAACTGCTCTCCTTAGCAATGGAAATTTTGGACTCCATTGTAGTTTTAAGTCAGGGACTACCTGTATACAGCAGTTTCATGCACATGCCTTTCGAAAATGAAATACAGGGAGAATTAGACTATGGCAAAAGTAAATGGGAAGTAAGAATTTATTCTACAGCCTGCCTGCCTTTTGACTACCACAGAGTCAAAGAGATCAGACTAAGTGCTGCTTTCTGAAATATGACCATTAGTGGTTGTATCTTTTCTTTTCTGTACACTGAGCGCATATGCACCAAGACAAATTCCTTGTGTGTCCAATCACACTTGGCCAATAAAGAATTCTATTCTATTCTATTCTATCAGGAGTTCAACAGAGAAGTATGGCAAGACTGATCTTCCCTTCTTTCCTCACCTACAGAGCATTTCACTATGGTTGCATCGGTTTCAGTTCCGGAAACCAGAACCAAACAGTATGTAGAATGTTTCACATTGTCAGAACTCTGGAGATGATAACCCAATGTTCAAGGATGAGCAATAAAGGCACCAAAGTTTTACAATTTAATTTACCTGAAGATAAAAATTTGATACAAACTTCCATAGAAGCTCACTTTGCTTACCTTCACATATCTGAACATGAAGCCATAACCCATGTGTTATACAATTATATTGAAAGTTTTTCACATTGTATGTAGTTCTCTATCAGATGTATCACACGCTCTATAATACAGAATTCTCCACACTCTCTGCAATTTGACATACAAAATCAATAATCCAAAATTATGATAGCAAAATAACAAAATCCAGCACAACATAAAATGCCAAGACAAAACCTAAGCCACTAGTAGGGTACAAGAGTTAATTCCACATGCCAAGAAATTTTAAAAAGTCATAAAAGTCTTGAGAATACTGAAATACTTAAAATGCCTAACATAATGGGAAAGGGTTAGCCTAGAACTGCAAAGACAGGAATGTGGTTGGTTAGAAGTATTTCCTTAGAAGACTTAAATAATAAGATTAGGCTATTTTTAATCTGAACAGAAAATAGAAAGCTTTTATTTAAAAAGTACACACAACTAGATAATACACCATACAGAGTTTCCACATGCTTACTAGAAATTGTTCAATCAGAGCACCAGTAAAAATGGATCACACTACTCCCTACCTCCAACTGGAAAGCACAATTGTTACGTGAATATTCAAAGGAGTAATCTTAGTTTACACCAGACTATGGGACCAACAGCCTTGCCTTATGTGCGCTATTAACTTTCTGTGCACCCTAAAACTTCCAAGGAATCCTTGGGACTTTAACAGTAAAGTTGATAAAGAAATGGAAAAAAAAGGTTTAAAATTAAGTCATTTCCACCATCACCAAGCCACAGTATTCATTAACTTCATTTAAACAATGTATCTGACAGATTCCAGCATACTTTTCAGGTCGAAGTTTCTAAAGTATACTTGCAGTGCACAAATCACAAACATGCAACAGGTCCGTGCATTATGGGATATAAAATACATTTTTAAAAATCTAATATATACAAGCTCCAATTAAATAAAACAGTTGGGACATTTAAATTGGGCTTCTTTTTTTTGAACAGTGGGATTCCCCTCCCCTTTTTTTTTCTCCCTTCTTTTCAATTGTGTCCAATTCTTGAAGACTCCCTGGGACAAGTCCCTGCAGTTTTCTTGGCAAGGTTTTACAGAAGTAATTTGCCACTGTCTTCTTCCTAAGGCTGAGAAAAAGTGACTGTCCCAAGGTCACCCAGCTGGCTTTGTATCTATGGCAGGACTAAAACTCGTGGTCTCCCAGTTTCTAGCCTGATGCCTTAGCCACTATATAAACAGGCTTTTTGTAAAAACAAAAGTCTTGTTTATTGATAAGACTTTCAACACTACAAACACCTTAGTCAAATAGGACACCAGAGTTTGGAGCAAAGCAAAGTTTCTAAATAAGGTTAGTAGAAAACCTGGATGAGAATGTTAGCATTTTAATGAATAAATACTACAACTTTAATCCGATTATGTGAGTTCAGAGAAGGGGGAGGAGGATGCAGTGTATGTACATATGTATTGTATAAAATAACTTCAAGAATAAGTTGCAATGCTGTATGAAATTAGGCACACCTAGAAAGGAATATATGAATAAACCCAATTCTTATTAGTTTCACATAATACTTTTCCATGTGGGATTACATTTGTTAAACATAGTAAAAATTTTGAGACTAGATTATTACAGTATAGACAGTCTTAAGGTTTTTTTTTCCCCAGAGTGTTTGAAATTTACAGCAACTCATAATTGGTTATGAAGATTATGTATTTACTACCCATTCTAACCATTACATTACCATAGCAACACAAAACTTAAATGCCAACCAACTGATTTTAACATAATCAAGAGGAACTCAAAAGTGTCTTTCTTCAGCACTCATACCTTATGACAAGAAGCACACCTCTAAAACTCAGAACATATTATTTAAAAGAAAATCACATTGCTATTGAATTACCCAATACATGCCTACCATTTCCAGGACAGAACATACCCCAGAAGCAAAACCAAGTACACTCACGTAGACAAACATCGGAGGCCATGAACGTTTTTAAAGTCCACACTGGCACAATACAAGATAGTTACTGCTGCTATTGAGTCAAGAGTTCTGCAAATTAACTCAAGACTTCCAACAATTATGCCACAACCTTAAACTGTGCCACAGCAGAGCTTTTGTCCTGCCCGATAAAACACAACCAAATCACACTTTATTACTTTTTCTAAAAAAAAAACAAAAACACAGCTAAACTTGTAGGGCAAGCTTACCAGTTGAGCGGCAATGGGCACTGCTAAACAAGTACGGCACTGATGGTGAACAAGCCCTTAGTCACTATGCAAAAGCAAGCAAGACTATTTCTCGCCCTAATTTGGGGGCGGAAAGGTGGGGTGAGAAAGAAGACAAAATTAAGTGTAGTAGTTCTTCCCCCTCCCCAGAGCAGGGTGAGTTTCTCTTTTAGACCACGAAGGGGGACACACACATGGCTCCTGCAAGAAAGAAGCCAATACTTCAATGCTGAAAGGGAGTGGGGAGGGGGAAGAAGAGAGAGAGGAAGAGGAGTCCCAGGACAGGATTTTAAAAATATATTAAGACAGCTCTGGAGGGGAGAGCAGTGTAGTTATCCGGGAGGACCCACAAGGCAAAAAGTCTGCCAACTCTGAATCAGAGAAATGACCACCCCGCCCCCTGGAAGTATTTGCTGCAGTCCCAGAAAGTTAAGAGAGGTGCCCTTGAAATCCACCTCCCCAAATTAGGACCACCCCCCCACCGCCCCAGGCTCAAAGGCAAGGAGGGAGGGAGAGGGAAGGGGTCTGGCACAAGACCTTCCCCCCCCACACACACACACGTCCCTCCTCTCGACCAAGGGGGGGGGGCAGGCGCCCACTGCAGCCACCCAGGAGGTGGGGGGCTCCTCTCGCAAAGACCTCCGCCACCCACCAACTCCTTTGGCCCAACGGCGGGAGGGAACCCGCCCCTATGGGGCCTCCGTGGTAGGTCTGGGGGAGAAGAGGAGGAGGAGGAAGGCAGGGAGGGAGGGGGGACAGAGAAGCAAGGAGGCAGCCCAAAGGAGAAAGACACTGACCTGGCTGGGGGAGGAGGAGGAAGAGGAGGAAGAAGCAGCGGCGGCAGCAGCAGCAGCAGCAACGAGGACGGCGCCGACCACGCGGGTGGATGACGAGGGAGGGAGCCCGCTCCCCTTTAAGACTCTCGAAGAGACTGGGGTTGGGGGGGGGGGGATTAAAAAAAAAAAAAACCAACCCACGCTGGGCCCCACGAGACCGCCCCGCCCCCCCCCCGCCCCCCCCACCAACACCGCGACCAACCCGGCTGGGTCTGCTCAGCAGCGGCCAAGTCCTTCAGACCTCGGCGGCGGCCCCAAAGCAGAACGCGGAGTGGGGGGGGGGGAGCGGGGACGGGGTTGGGGTTGGCGGGAGACGGAACCGTAGAGAGCTAGCGAGAGGACTGGCAAGGGGGGAGGGGGGGGCAAGCCTCGCCAGAAGCGAAAAGAGCAACGGCGCCCCCCACCCCCACCCCGGCAGCGTCCGCCGAAGGAAACGGGGAGCAAGACACCCCCCCTTCTACCCCTGCCCCTCTCACCTCGTGCGCGTACACCTTCCGTTCCCATGACAACGGGTTGCTACTTCTGGGCCGGGTCGTGGCTTCCTCCCTGCCCCTCACGGGGGTGCGGGATGGCGGTCGGGTGCAATCCTACAGGTGTGCTGGGCGCCCTGAGTACTTCCTCGCCCTTGACCGCTCGTGCTGTTGCTGCCCTTGGCTTTGCGCTTATTAAAACGGCGGCGGCAACCCCCTCAAAAAAGAAAAAACAGATCGACTTGCAGCACCGCCTTGTTGAATGAGCACCTTATAGCTTCAAGGAAGCGGGGTGGGGGGGCACCAATAATTTTAAGAAATGCTTGACCAAGCTATCTATCCAGCCCAGGCTCGTGTAACCTCGAAGATTTGAAAAGATTTGATATATCGAGTTTGAACTTTTGGTGGGTTTTTACAAATGCGGGGAAGGGGGTGGGTGGGATATTGCACGCCATGCAGGGTAAATGCAATTGGTTATCATCCCTCTGAGAGCTAAATAAGTGGCAGTCCGAGTTCATTCATATAAGTTTGTGTCATGCTGTAGGGGCACTGTCCAAAAGTACTAGGTATTTCCCCAAAGAAATGACATTCCTGGGGAAGACTCCACGCAGCAGCTAATGCAAAGCTAATTGTAGCACTAAATGAAATCTGGTGTGTTGGCAGAAAAACCTCTGGAATAGCCCAGAGAAACACCCCAAGGGATAAAGATACAGAACAGCTAAAATGATAATCAGCGTGGTCCTGTCAATAGTTTAGTAACAGTCAGGGCTCCAGTTCAAGAAATTCCCCTATCACAATTTCACAAAGGTAGAGAAATTAAAATTATTCTTGGATGCTTGGCTAACCATCCTATCGTTATGAAGAATCTAGAAAATAGCTTGAATTTCTAATAGTATCCTAACAGATATCTCCTTTTCTGCTGGTCATGCTCACTGCAACATGTGACTAAAAAAAAGTAAAAATTAAAGGAAAAAGTTCTTAAAGGAGAAAAAAGGAAATTGGCAGGCTTTAAAGCAAAAACATTCATTCAGGCGTTATCTTGATTTTCAAAGCCTCTAAGATCTACATTGTCAGAGGCATTTGTGGATGGGCAGGTAAGAAGTAATAAACCTCTGAGAAGAGAGATGCAGAGAATATTCTCATTAGCTTCTTAATGCTTCGTAACTTAATAATCTTTGGTGAGAGCATCTGCAACGTTTCTTCAAAAGTCCAATGGTTCCAAAGTGGTGGTGGTCTGTGGAATATAATGTAATCCATCATTTGGGTCTCAGGACACCAACATCTGTATGGGAATTGCATAAATTACAACTCAACAATTAAATTCTAAAGCATGGGACTATATCTCTGGTTCATGTTGGAACTTGCAAAGGGCAACAGATATGGTAAGTTAGGAATAAAATTCACAATGCTGAGAAAAGCACACTGCAGAAAATAATTTATTTCAGAACACTTCCAGGAACTAGAACCCACTTGCTGACAACTTCTGTAAATATTTCTCTTGAAACATTGGCAGCCTTGTTGGAGTGGCTGCGTCCCTATGATCATCTCTGCTGGTCAGCTGAACTGGTTTATTTCAAGCTCATCCTTGATGTCTCAGAAAACAGTGCAAATCTGATTTTCATTCAAAATACTAAAGCTGCTTGAGAGCTCCTGAGTCCTTCATCATTCCTTATGATGATCAATGATGCCTGTATCTCATCTGTCTCTGGAACTGAGCAGAAGGATGGTTCCATTTTGCTTTTTCACCTTCCCACAGAGCAACAACTGTAATTTTTAGAAATTCCCAAACACAAATCACAATACAGAGGACAGGCACTACCAGTTGGGTGCTATTTTTATCTAACTTGGTAGTTTAGAAGGACCAACCATTTGGCTCATGGGGAATTCTCAACAATTCTAGGTCAGCTATTGTGAGGGTAAATATAGGCACGGTATTTCTGGGGAGTGAAAGCAATGGCCATATGAAATAACTGTTTAAATGCCCCATAGGAAGATTATAATGGAATATTTGACATGAACGCTGGGCCTGGGCAGTGCCTTGGAACTGATTCCAGAAAGATGCTTCAGAATATGGATATAAAAATAATACCTTTCTCAATTCTTTTAAGCCATCTGTAGCTGCCGTGTGATCCTAGGAAAAAGTAGAGCTGCTCTAGAGAGTTGTAGATAGGTGCTATGCTCACAATCCTGCTCACTTGGATGCATCTATTTGGCAACACATTTAAAACACTGAACAACTATAAGGAACACCCCAAAGCAGCCCTTCTCAATTTCATGTTCAACTAGGTGTGGTAGAACATACTATTTCATCTGGCCCCCTCTCCAAAAAAATGATTTTTGTTATACAGCTGGTACATCCTCCTCCTTCCTACTCATCAAATGCTTGTGATCATTGTTATTTTGCAGGATTAGCCTGGATACATGGAACGAGCAAATAGTCACCCATACCCATATTTGTTCTACATCTCATTGGCATGAGGTGTGCACACATATCACCACATAGGGAAAAGTTTATGAGACATATTTGATTTCTTCACTTTTTCTTACAAAACATCATAGAGGATCTATTGCACATTTTGGACTAAGGCATACTGAAATAACTGAAAATCAGTTTTGCACGAATCTTTTTTAGCAGCTTTTATAGTTTATTATATTGATAAATATCATAAAAGAAGTGATTTTGCTACTTAGTTTAAGTTGATGGGCACCTCTTTTCCTCCCCTTTTTAGGAACCTGTTGAACTGACATTGGGTAGGGCATTCTGTGGGTCCAGGACAATGTCTACTCTGCATGCCTGGGCTATTAGTAGGTCTTTCACAGTTCAAAAGGAAGAGGAGTGTTAGTACCATGAAATCAAATATGGAGAATTTGGAACAGGAATAATGAGACTTATGGGCTACCACCTGATGGGCCTATTTGGCAAAAGGGCAGAAGCAATGATTTGATTATATGGGTGGAAATAGCAATGAGAGAGAAAAACAAATATGTTGCACTCTGTAGGCTACTACTTTATATTAAGTAGTAGGCAAGCTTTCAGAGCCTAAGGGCCACATTTAACGTTCAGGAGGAGCCCAAGGCCTATAGAGTACCAAGTGATGATTTAATGGAGTTTGGTCTTTGTTTTTTGTGAGCTATTTTAAATTCATTTTTGAAGTTGAGAACTACAGAAGTGACATTATAGGGTTTTTTTCTGAAAAATGGAAGAAGGCTGCTCCAACTAGTTTTAGAAAATTGTCCAACCTATTAAATAAACACAGGAGAGAGTATCAGTTGTCTGGTCAATAGTAAAAAACAATCCATAATAATAAAACTATGAGTTGTTGCAACACCTGGCTGAAAAACTCCTTCAATGCTTAATAAAAGTTTACATGATGATGTAACTTTTTCCTTTCCCAAAGTTGATCTAAATGGGATTCTTTCCAATCTTCTTCCTACTAATCCATCTCCCTGATTCCTGGGGGGTTTCATTTTAACAAAACTGCAATGTTTTTTCTAAGAGGAAACAAGATGCAGGCATAGAAAACTAGATGTGGGATGTTGTCATGGAGAATATCTATGTGGTTGCTTCAACATGGACTTGATGGCAAATCAATGTGGGATGTAGACAGTAATTTTTCTTTTTCTTCATTTTAGTTTAGCTTAGTTATTTAGCAAAGCTAAATGTTTAGAGAGTTAAGTTAAAACTGGGCTCCATAATGATAATATAACCAAGGTGTTAACGCATCTAGGAATGAATATTTTCCTTGATGCTTCCTATGTTTCTTAAGCCATCTAATTTTTTAAAAAATCATTTTAATCTATATATATATAAATGGATGAGCGTGCGTGCGTGCGTGTGTGTGTTTCAGCATAACTCTGGAATGCCTCAAGCAATTTCAACCAAACTTGGTACACAGATGACTTACACTCTAGAAACAAATACTGTGGGAGTAAGAAACCCTTAACACCCCGGGGGGGGGGGATGCCTGAAAATGGCTTCTACTGTACAGCATGGTGGACTTGCCATGGTAACGGCTTCACAGTACTCCACAAGGGAGCTCCCTCTCAGCCCTCCAAGGAAACATTAGGCGATTGGCCAAGTGCAATCAAAAAAGGAAACACCAGCATAGACAACAAACTCCCAAAAGGAATAAAAGATTTGCAATGCTGTGTGAGAGACAGTACAACAGCGTGAGTCCTGAGTACACAATTTTCCTGTCTAATACTGGATTGGGATAAATAAATACCCGGGCAACGCTGGGTAATCAGTTAGTTTAAAAAAAAAGAATAGAAAAGTAACTTCTTATCAAACAGAACACCAAGATAAACTCTTATTTCCTCCTGTAAAAAAAGAACGCAAAGATAAGCCAATGTACTAGAAAACATCTAAGGAAGATGGAAGGAATGCTAGGAACAAACTCACATATATTTCACATTCAATTATTGTTTTGTGACTGGCCACACACATTCTAGAACAATTTTATAACATTCTCTATATCATGCTCTCAAAATTCTAAACATGTTCTCTGGCCTGAAAAGTTGTGAATCCTTTTGCCATCTCCAGTAAGGAACACTGTGACTTATGGCTCAAAATATGAACTAATATGAATATCACCTAGAACATTTTTTAATGTAAGAGCATTA